AATTAAAACGATTAAACTGAAACAAAAATCAAGAAAGCTGACACCCTTCAGATCTGTTTAACTCATCAAAAATTCATATTTTTATGAATGACTTCTTTGTCTTGACTCATCCCTTACGTAAAGAAAGGTTAAGAAAAGCTTTAAATCTTCAGTTATCTGCACCAGATTTGGGTCAAAGCAGGAAGTCAACTTAAAATTAGAGCTCTGTTACGGATACAGGCAGACCAAAAGGCTACTGGAGTTATACCATTTGATTTTCAGGATCTCTTCCTACAGAAGTCAAGTAACTTCCTTTTTTATAGCACTATCTGATTAGAAGTTTAGCCTGTGTATCCTACTGAACTGACGTAGGATGTGTGGGCAGTGGGACTGAAACCTAGAAGATGTACTGGTTTTAGAAAACTGCCTTCCAAAAATATTTTGGGATAGGTGATTGTAGTGTAGCTACAGTAAGTAACAGTTTCTTAATATGCCCCACAAAAAGAAGTTGATACAATCGTTTTGGTGTGTTTAGGAGAGGGCTGAGTGAATCGCTCTACTAACAGAGGCAATAAGGACCAGTAAACCTCAAAGAACACTATGGACAGACTGCAGCACACATTTCCTCAGACACAGGCCTTTGTTGTCAACTCCAAACAGAACTCTATCGGCGGCATTTATGTGAAGAATCCCTGTAACTACATCACATTGCTCAGTGCAGTATATTTAGCCTGGTTTTGACTCCACATGACCAGTAAGTAATACAGTGTCGACTTTCCCTAACAACAAAAAAGAAAGCTGCCAGGCTATAATTAACCCTCAGTCCTCTGTGCTGTGGAGCAGCCACAGCTGATTCTGCTGGTTTGACACCGAACCAGTCATGTGCCAGGCCACGTCTGCTACGACAAACCACCAAGGACACAGTGGGCTGCCTTGCACATCACCATTCCAAGTCATAGGCCAGGTTTGCTTTTAATAATTTCAGGTTTGATGCCAACTTTACTAAGAAGTACTACTTTTTTATTAACTGACAAAAGAAGGCTGCATGAAATGCTGGAGGAGTGCAGTTTTCGTGTGCACATAACATTTATAGCTGTAATAGAGAGGCTGCAGGTGCCTGCAGAGTCACAGCACAAGTTCTGCAGTTACATGGTACAGTAACAAATACCTTGGTCATGTCTTGGTCATGATGTCACACTCTGCATTTCCGTATCTTGTTAAACCCAACTCCCTTCAGTCATGTTTGCCCCCTTCTCTCACACAAGGAGAGAGATGTGTCCAACCCAGGATTAAGCGTGAGCCTTGGTGCTGGAGGACATGCGCTGTGCAATGGAAAGCAGTGCTGAAGTGTCTCAGTGTATTTTTGCAGTGTCACAAGGCTGCTGAGCTCCTTCCAGCTTTGCTGCTATGCCAGCACCTGCACCACAATTCAGACATGCCACTTGCTCTCATGGAAGAAGTCTCTAACCTCTTCTAATCCCTAAATGGAAATATTTTTGCAGCGGTGCAATGACTTGAGTTTACTTTGCGTTAGTTACAAGATGTCCTGTGGCTCTCAGAGGGAGAGCTGGTCAGATATCTGAGGATTTAACTGACATTTTTACGAATCAGAAGTCTGTAACCGGTCTTCTCAATAGATGCCTTGCTGTCACAAATTTTATGGACACAATGAATCCACTAGAAGATATGGTAACAGCATCCTTCAACTGCTGACAAGCTCTGATGGATGACACTCTTCACTTTTCCTTGCCAACTTTTTGCTTTTAAACTACTGGTCAGTCTGGATCTTTACCCACGTTGGGCATGCTGCAAGATGCAACGTTTTGTTTCCATGCTTAGGAGAGAGTAAAACCACCTTCAATTCAAGATGTACATCTCAAGTTTGAGCTGCACCAGCAAGACAACACGTTTTTGAGCTGCTCTCCTCCATACTAAGTTAGACTCTTGCATTCAGTATTTTCTGTGTTTCTTCACTGCTCCATTTGGCAGGACACTGCCTTAATTAAGAATGACTTGTTATTGCGTAAGTTTTAAATATAGACAGAAATACAAAGTACAGTCATTCTACAATATTTTCTTATTAATTACTACTTTGATTCTCCAGAAATTAAGCTGAAGCTACAGTAAAAAGCAACCTGTAATGATCTACACATTTTCTAGTCAAGATCAGAAGAATCTGAGCTTCTCAGCAAGAGACTTTATCAGCTAGAGAGTCATCACAGAATTACTAAAATGAATGAATGCTAGAATTCTACATGGAATATGGCTGAGAAAGCAGACTTATTGCTTTATATATACACAAAATGATTAGGGGATTTCTAGTTATGATTTATAGTAAATCCACATACTGGGTTTTCTAATCTCCAGCTTTATATAATGAGGATGCAATGAGTAACAAAATGTAAGAGGATAAGTAGAAGGTCATCCTGATTTGCTAAATACAGCCTAACGTAATACTTTCAAAATGGTTAAATACAGTTGTACATGCTAGAAATCTCATCACTGTAGAAAGCCATGAAATCCAAGGTAAACACCCTCCTAAACTGCACACCACAAGAGATTAAAGTTTAGATCAACAGTATTAGAATAGATTTAAATCTAAACCGTGACAGTGGGATAGCTAAACCACCACATTAGGAGCACTTTTTAAATCAGAGTGAGGGGAAATTATTAAGGCCTCATCATATAACTAGTCTGAGTAGGTATTTTTTCAAGGGGGAAGAAATGGGACCTTTATTAGAGGAATACGCAGCAGAGCACAGTATGGATGATGGGTATGGGAAAGGATAGAAATGACCAGCTGCCTGTTTCCTGTCACTTCAGCTGCCTTGTTTGCACCTATTCGCAGCCCTAAACATTGCACTGTCTATCCAGGGAGATGTTAACCTGGGGTGTTGGGCAGAGGGTTGACTTGCTGAATGACACTAAGGGTAAAAAGGTCCAACAACACATCAGGGGAGAGAAAAAGCAGAGGGGACAAACAAAGTGTAAGAAGCTGCTTTTACATAGTTCTGGCCTGAAAGTTTACCAGTTTGTGCAGCTAGTAACATACAATAAATATTACTTTGAAATTGTGTTGTTTTAAATGTTTTCTGTAATAGAATTTGAATTTCATATCTAGGTATCCTCATGCATTTTGATCCCTTGTTTCTTCAAGTGAATTAGAAAGTGTTTCCTGCAGGAAGCAAAGACAGGAAGAGAAGCAACGAAGCAGAATAGCAAATTCAAGGCGGAGATTAGAGAAGTTGAAAGGCATCAACAGGATCCTGTTAAACAACAATATAATGAAGCGTCACGCGAACTTCAGTATAGGAAAAAAAAAAAGGAAAGAAGTGCCTTTACACAGGCACATAGGTGTAGGATCTGCTTTCAAATTATGTAATCCATGTTCACTCATACTCTGAACAGAGCCCAGCTTGCTCTGACTGGTAAAGGGCAAAGGAACACAATAAATTATAAAAAGATGCTCCATTGGTCACTGGCAAACATCTTGGACTTTGCAGGGAAGCTGTAAATGGTGATGCCAGATGTGTTACACCTTTCAGAAGATGCTGGATTAAGACTAATCCAGATGGTTTGAGCACTGATGGGTGAAGCAGCTTTGTAGTTCTGTATTAGTGGATTTGGAGGGGTTTTGGTGTGTTTTGAAGAAAACACCTAAGTGTTGGCTGAAGGGGCGGCAACATTCACTTTTAGGAGTCTTGCTTAAAGGAATTTATGTAAATACTACCCACACTGCAACTTCTGGAGGTGGGGTGGTGGTGTTTTGGTGGGGATTTTAGTTTTGTTGGGTTTGGGGTTTGTCCTTTTTTTTTTCCAGTTTTGTGGTGGTTTTTTTGTAGTGTTTTTTGGTTTTAAAGACTTTTAAATCATATCCTGTCAAGCTATACAGGAATTCCAGGACTAACTTTGTCATGAGGTAGCACTTCCATACTGCACTGAAATTCTGTAAAATATTTCTAGAAATATTTTTTTGGCAAAGAAAGCATCTACTATTTTAATTTTGAAATAGTGCATGTTACTTAAAAGAAAGAAGGTAATTTATGCCCTCAGAGGTTTTTTTTTTTAATTTCTTTACTTTAAGACTACTGACTTAAATACATGTCAGTAATCCAGACATGATTTAAAGAATTTTCAGTTGGCTTTGCCTCAGTGTTTTGAGGGGTATATTTGCCTTAACTGGTAACCCTTAAAAACCTATTTTCCAACTAAATATGGTTTTCATGTCTAATGTATTAGCTGGGAGACCATATTGTATCAGCATTCATTTCTGTATGTAATTATGATGTTTGGATGTTTTTCTTTAATTGTTATAACATTATTGTAGAATAACCTATTTGCTATTTGTGCCTGTCTCTATTTGTACAGGAACTAAAATTCATATAGATACAAAAGAAGAAAAATTGGAATTATTTTTTAAACCAGAGTAATACGTTAGATATATTATTAAAAAAGTGTCCTTGTCTAAATATGTGGTGGGTTTTTTTGTTGTTTGGGTTTGTTTTTTTTTACTTCAAGCTGATTAAGCAGAGGAAGTATTCACTCATGTTGAGAGAACTGAGCAGCTCTATAGCACTTTTGGAACAGGAGGTTTCAGATCAGACTTCTGACTTGTATTTGTTGATTGGAAATGAAAAAAAGCCCCAAGCCCAACCCCTAGGCATGGCAGGAGAACAGAAGGGAAAAGCAGAGACTCTTTCTGCTTGCAAACCTATTGCTGCAGCCAAGTGCTATTTAGCATTTAAATCCATGTTCAATTTTCCATATAGAAAGTCTTGTTTAATCACTAGTTAATTCTTTAAATTTCCATAATAATCATTATTTTAAAAAAGAAATTAATAAAGCTGTGGCCATTTGACTCACATGTATATTGATTATATTTCTCTAAATAATTAGCAAGTGGCCATGCTTGAAGTGTGGCTATTACAGCTTTTCCTGTGATTTGTCTGTCTTTGCCAGCACAGAAACAACTCAGTTGTGTCAGTGTGTTAAGCAATGGAAATAGTTTCTGAAAGCAACTAATATTTGTGATGTAGGCAAAAAAACTGGCTTTCTTTTTACTGTGCATCCATTTTAACTTCTGAACAAGTATAAACAAACTGCCAAGATGCTTATAAATGCTAAACACTTCTGCTTACACTGTGAACAGTCTAACTACAGTATCTAGTTGTATTTTATTTATTCCTCCATCTTTTGCTTGTGGGTGTGGAGGGAAGAAGGATGAGAAAAAAAGTAGGTTCTAACCTGACCTCCTAAAACATTAGATTTCTTTCTCACTCCTCTATACAGAAGTAGAAAATGCTACTTTTTTGCTGCATGCTGTTTCACAAAGCCTTGCTCTCCTCCCCTCAGCAAGTCCTTGATAGAATCAGTCTCTTCCTTCTTTTCTAAATAAAGTTAAGTTGATTGATAAACAGTGTTTCTAAAAAGAGAGCTTTGTTTAATTAAGGTGGTCACTGAACTGAAAGTCCAAGTGTATTGGTTTCTCTCATTTTCTACCTACTGTGCCATGCCTTTGAAGGCATTTCCTACTAAATTTTGTTACTACTGTCTGGAGGTAACAATAGCAAGCCTGCATTTATGCAAGGAGCTGGGACTGACATGGATACTTAACAGATCGTCTACACTTAAATCTTTACACTACTGCTGATGCAATTAAGTAATTACTAGGGATGGTTAAAAAAAACCCAAGCCACAACAGTAAAGGCTATTGGAGAAAAGAGACACTAGTGAGATTCCCTTCATCAATACCAAACACCTTTTACAAGTCATTTAAGGCCAGGCCCTCTGTTCTTCCAGCCTTATTAGCGTGACATGTTCCATAAATGGCTTTGCATCCACGTCTCCAATAGTCTGATGTTTGGGATTGGATATTTCTTCTTTTATCAGTTGGTAAAACTCCCAAACTACATCTATGCAACTTAGATATTTTATTATGACTTTCACTGAAACATATCAGTGAGACAACCAGAAAAGGCTTCCAATTAATTCCTTGAACATAAGGTGTCAATGTGTAGGAGTTAATCCTCCAGCCTTGTTTTATGACAAAAACAAATTCTATGGGCAAATTAGACTAAAACACTTGAACTGTATAACTACAAATTTACAGATGATACAGTTAGTTTTAAATAAGTTGTTGCTTTGGACACAAATATATGACTCCATTTTGATAATACAAATTTCCTTCCATGAAGAGGAGTGGATTCTAAACCAAAAAACCCTAACACACGTTTTGTAGTTTCATGTAGATTATATCCCAGTATTAAAATATTAGACCCACTTACCATCATCTAGTGTGATGTCTTGTAGTCCTATGGTTTGAAAATTCAGCTCCCGATCCTCAGGTTCAGGTTTAATGTTAATAGCTGCCCCATCGGGTGCAAAGGGAGATGAGTCACACACGGAGTGGTGCCCGAGGGGTGACACAGCGCTGAGAGCCCCCAGGGCAGGGCTGGGGGCCTGGGGAGAGTGCTGGCCTGAGTGATTTGTGGGTGGGGGGGATGAGGTGGGTCCCGAGCTCGGAGACTGGTAGGGCAGAGGCTGTAGCTGGGGGGACGAAGGTCCAGACAGTGGCGAGTGGACCAGCGGGTGGGAAGCTGTTGGGGACGGGGATGATGCAGATGCCGGATTTGTAGAATGGTATGGGACTTGCTGCAGCTGGGGAGAAGACTGCCCAAGGGAGCAACCCATTGCAGAAGGGATGGAGCCCTGCCCAGTGCTTGGGCAGTGGTATCCCACTGATGGCAGGTGAGCAGATGGCTCTCCGGAATGAGCTGGATGTGCCAGGGGGTGCCCTGCTGTACTTGATGTTGACACAGAACCTGGATTTGAAGAATGAAACTGCACTGGTGGTAGAGCTTGGCAGCCAAGATTTATCAAATGAGGTACAGCTGTGTCTTGTGGAAATGAAATAGCATCAAATCCTTGGCTGGAGACTGAGTTCATAGGAAGACCAGACTGTCCATTGTACACATTATTAGACTGCATAGGCGGGTAAGAAGGCCTCACAGGAGGTGCTGATGTTACCTGAAAAGACTGAACCACAGCAGGAGGCAAAACATGACACTCTTCACTTGGACTAAGGTTTCTACCTTGCATATGTGGCAGGTGGGACACTGCTGAGGTCACCATTGCTGCATATGGTGGTTGAACAGGACACACAAGGCTTCTGGGTGATGTAGACAGCAAATTGTCATGTGGGTGCCCTTGCTCTGGTGAAGGCAGCTGAGTTCGGATCGAATGCAGGCCCTGGACGTTGCTTGTGTGTGGCAGGGTCAGAGATGGAACAGCAGACAGATCCACCTCATCTCTGTGCTCTTGCTTCATTATAACTAGAAAAAGTAAAACAGTTTTACAATTCCAACCCATCTGTATCCTGTGATAAATACACACCAATAGCTGTTTAACAACCACAATAGCACTGTTAGTGTCGTTGCTGCAATCTCCCTTCTTTTACTCTGCTTTCATCTTGTTTGACTTCATGCCCGTTGCACTAAGCCAGAACAATTCTTCTAGCATGTATTCAAAGGTAGTTATCTTCCCTTCTAACACACCCTCCTATGTAATGTATGTTTTCAAAGACATTTGCAACCCAGTTAGAGAAAGTCCAGTACATCAAAAGGATGAACCAGAGGGACCAGGGGGCTGCTGCTGGGCACCACTGAAAACAGGCAGATGTGCATTCAGTATCAGGCACTGGCAAAACATGAAGGAAATTTTTAGCAGGTTTCAAGCTTTCCTTAGCCTCTGATCACTATGACAGTTGAAATTTGGCAATACAGAAACTAGTTTGAGTAGTGCACGTTGTTTCAATTACAGCAGCTCTTTCAGCACAGGCCTCAACTTCAATGATGGCAACAACTGTTCTTATAATACAGAGTTACAAAATGACACACTTTCAGTTACAGGTTTGGGTTTTTTTAACTCTTGATAGTCTCATGAAAAGACACTGATCTTAAGTACAAGTAGTAGAAAAATGCTAACACTTAACAACTCAATTACTACTTTATAAAACACAGTTAACTAAATATTGCAGTTTAATGAACTGTTACGCATACATAGGTAACATGGATTTTAAAGTGTTTGTGTAATAACAGCTGCAGTTATAATTAAAATTGCTTCTTCTGTAAGTAATGTGTCATCACTTCATTCCACCATTTAAATAATTTAAATACAGATTTCTCAAACAGAGGTATAGTTTAAGATGTGTAACTATCTTACGAGTTGATACCCTTAAAATTAGTTGAAAATTACCAGAAATCTGGTAACAGTTAATATGTACTAGGCGTACCAGACACCTAAAGTAATACTGCCTACATTACACATGAAGGCATGAAGAAGGTAATTTTAGAGCACAACAAGTGAGCACAACTTATTTTCAGTTGTGTAAACTCATGGAAGTTGGCTTTGTCAGCATATACACTGGCTTCAAGAAGTTTATATTAATATCCATATCCAACTTTAAAGACTCCTTCAAGTGCTCCAAGCAGAGTCACCACCATCACTGGTTCCCTGGGAATTCTGACTGCTCTGAATGGGTGTGCAGTTCTTAAAGAAAAAGAAAGTAAGTGGCAGGTGAAGAAGCAGGCACTGCATGTCTCATAGCAACCACTTCCACATCCAAATAGGAGGGATTAAGATGTTTTAACTACACTTACAGTTAACACGTCCCATTTTCACTTCTGGCTAAGTTACAAACTATTTTCTCTCAGTAAGCTGTCATGTGTCCAGAGTGGGGGAAAAATATTTTGATCTTCCTTGTATCTAAACCTGAGCGGGTTTTTTTGACATTTTAAAAGGGTAAAAAAACCCATAAACCTGTTCTTCTATGATCTCACTATTCTCCATGTCATCACTAGGGTTATTTAAAGAGCAGTTTCTGAGATTCATCATCATTCTCAAAAAAAAGCAGAATGCAAAAATTATTCTCTAGAAAATGTAATGAAGAAATATCTGGCTGTAATCATAGTACTGGAGCTTATTACTCTATATTTCAGCTTTTTAATTAGACAACCAACCTTTAGAAGCTGTTTTATAGCCAATTCAAAGCTAACTTATGTACCTATCAAAGGGACATGACTATCTGAGTTTCTTTCAAATGTCTACTTAAAAGTAAAATAAAATACAACTTCTGTGTTTTTCATTTAATACCTGGTGTATAAGTAAAACGTTGAGACTGACTTTTTTTCCTCTTGCCATTGCAGAGATAAAACTGCACCTGAACTGCAGCTGTAATGGTTTTGTTATGGTATGGAGGAACTTCAAGTACGATGTTTGCCTACAGGAAAGTTGAAACAAAAAAGTTTTCTGTATCAAATGCAAAGACACTGGTAATAACTATAGAAAAACTAAAACACATTGCAAAATTAAAGCACCCTAATATTTCGAAATTGTCAAATTTCAAATCAATGCACATTACATAATAAAACAATACTATAAGCAAATTTTTATTTGGAGACTTTTTTCCCTTTAAACACGAGTGCCATGAAGATAAATGCGTTAATTAAATAGACACATCATCTAAAGGATGCTTTGTTTATTTGCCAGAGCATAAAAAACCTCTAGCAGTCAAAGAATTGCATTTTAGATCATTAGGCTTTTAAGAAAAATTTTAATGCACTGGAAATAATTTGTCATCTTCATAAAATTAAGTTTCCTTTTTTCAGTTTTCAAATTCCTTTTTCATTGCTTTCACAAAAAGCATGCTACTTCCAGTTCCTTCAAAGCATCATCTTAATGGCTACTTTACAGTGTTAAGCCAATTTAGAAGTCTCCCATTGTCTGTCTGAATTAGCCAGTGATCTACTTGCTTTACTAAATGAAGCCTAAATTTCAGAACAACAATGAAAATGTCTATTTTCTCATTTAATAAAAATAAGCTTTCTAAAGTAAGAAAAGTTGTTTCTCACCCCTTGACACTTTTCCCTAATTATTATCCCTTCTACCTCCCACTGAGGTCGTCCATCTGTTGAGAGAAATTTAGAAATAAATCAAGCAAAAAGCATTTTCTAATACATGTAAATAATTAATTTTAAAAAATACTTAAATACTTATTATAAAACTGGATTTCTTTTCAGTCAAAGAGGCCGTTTAAGCAATAGACATATATTGTAAAAAAAGTGTGAAGTATAGAGCTGCTTTTGGATTCTTGACACTACAACCATTGTAAGTCGACTGTTGTGCAGGATTCTGCATTTAAACCCAGTAGATTCCATAGAGTAGATTGAATTCCAAAGGAGGCAGTGGTTATTGTTTAGTGTACAGAGTGCTTTTTACCCTATTTTTCTAAAAATGTTTTTGAAAGGTAGTTGAATTGCTACTAACACTTGTGGTTATTCAGACATGCTGATGACTTAGGGGTTAAGTCACCACGCAAGAGATAACAGAAGCCACACCTCTGTGCCCTGACCGATGGGTTATATACATGTACCACAAACACCCTCCCCTGAACCCACAGACCCTGTAGTTCAATTGCTGGGCAAGTTGACTGTGTTGGGAGGGAAGTAAATCACCTGGTGAATGTCTTTCTGCTCTGACCTGGCATAATCCATATCCTTAACTGAGCCCTCGACTCTCTCTGTCACTGGGTTTTGTACAGGGTATCAGGAAACCAGCAGCAGCAGTGTTTCTATCAAAGCTGTTCAAGCACACAGATCAGTGCCCAAATGAAGTTTCAGATTACTATTCAGGACTTTTTTGTCTTTTTAAAACATCATTACTTCTTAAAATCAAACTCAGTGGTTTTGTTTTGAAGAAAAAAGAGCAAGACATTACCTTGTCCTTTTTCAAAAAATATGATTTTGGATTCTGCAAGAAAATTGGATCCTGTCACCACCATTTCATGACCTCCATTTACTGAGCAGCTATTGATGCTGTACTTCTCAATCTGAGGAAGTTCTTGAGCAGATCGCTGAGCTTTAAAAAATATTAAGGAAAAAATTATTATGCAGTTTTGATCATGATATTTATTTTATGATTCTAACTTGAAGAATCAGGAATGAAACTAAAATGACATCTATTTGCATACACAATTCATATCTGTGTATGATTCATCTTTGTTTTAAAAATCATGTTTAAATTACATAATTACAGAAAAGAAACAACAAGAAGCCAGGAATCTCAACGGTCTCTATTGTTACAGCAAATGAAGTTTTTAGTTTAGGAATACTGGTTTAAAAATTATTTTAGTATTTTCTAGACAAAATGAATTCTAGCGGAAATTGAGATTGTTTGAGGTCATGTCTTGATTCCTTAGTGCTAGCATTTAACAAGTGAACTCTCCAGAACTTCAGCTGTTCACTAGATAATATTGTATAAAGACAAGTAATGGTATAGACTCTTGTAAATTAAATGGTATTTAGTTCTACCTGGAATGAGTATTTTCTCTGAGATGAATCAGCTGCCCTCACTCATACAGAGGAACTCTTGAAGGTGCTGTGTGACTGCACTATAAGGTATTTTTCCTCTAAACCTTCAGGCTACCACTTGGCAAGAACCGTATTTAAAGATACCTCCATTTTTGGTAATTGAGCTTTAATGCACAATGCTTTTCACACTTGTTATATATAATTCTGGCAATAAATATTCTCAGAATGACAATACTACTGACACATGCAGAAAACATGAGTATAAATTATATATAGTTAAAGCAATCTTACAGCATTCAACAGGGATGGAAGCAGTCTGCAGAGATAAGACTTTTCCACTAGGCTGTGGGATGTGAACACGGAACACAAGTCGCACTCTGGTGTTCTTCCTTCCAATATCTGTCTCTCCTTTACGGAGCTCTATGTCTGAATTGCGAAGCTTCAAAATACCAGCACAATCGATACTGCAGGATGGAGAGGATGGACAGATGGAGCAGAAGAGAAATGGAAGAAAATTAATCAAATTATTGACAAAGTATACTCGGTAAGCCTTTCTTTTGTTAAAGAATGAAGCGTGTTTTATGTTTTCCCCATGTTACGTTGTTTTAAGTGTTATTTTAAATGTCTGAGATTAAAAGAAATGTTAGTGTGAAAATGGCAGCAAGTACTCTGTTGAAACATTTTGTCTTGTAAATGTCTAACGGCTGCTTTTTCGAACTTTTAAAAGATTATTTGACATTGCACGTTGTCTAACTTTCTAAGTAAGTTATTTAATATAGTAAACATCATTTACAAAGAGCAAGAGACCTATATTTAGTTCTGCCTTAGGAAGGATTAGGGAATGACAAAATGCACCCGTCAAATCCCAGCTCCCATTCCACGCAGTGCTCAGTTATTCCTATGAGACACACATACCTCCATCAATTAGCAGGTAGGCAAGAGAGCTTCCCTAGCTCTCTGCTCCTTTACTTCTGACTACCTAAACACTGGTATGTTTTAAGAGACGTGTCTATCCTAATCGTGACCCACATTTGTTGAAAATATATTGTTCTACATGACTTTTCTTTCACCTGTGCACAAATGAAGAAAAAAAAGACACATAGCAACCAAACAGCTGATTTATGGGGTGATGTACCTGGCTGACATATTATTTTCAGGAAGAAGTGGAATTTCCAAAACTTTGGTGCTGGCAATGATTATCTCTTGACTGGCCGTCGCAACTGTTTTCCCAGTGATTCGGTGCACCTGGTAGAAGGCATGAGGCCGTAGGTATCGATCATCCGCTGTCCCAATGAACATTTGGAGGTTCACAGGCTTTTCACTGTAGCCCAGGAGCTGATGGAAAAACATATTAGTTGACTTCTACTGCATTTGTGTGTGCAATTCTTCAGCAATCAGAAAACTGAGTACAGGTATCTGTCCCTGAAGACAAGTACTGGTAACAATTACCAGAACAAATGGATATTAAAATACCATTGTTACTATTTTAAAATCTTTCAAAGAGAATTGCTCAATCTACAGAATCTCGACATCAAAGCTATGCTATGTTATAGGTCTGTTTCTGATGTGGTTTTTAATCAAAGTCTAATTATTAATTTTACTAAGATGCACCGAGATTCTAGAAATACTAAAATATTTTAGTTTTTCTACTATGAAATTGGAATAGCAACTTTTATTAAACATAAGAGGTTTTGTGAATGCAAATGTATCACATTAGGATTGAGAAAATGTAATTAATAGCTGGAAAATCATGTGTGGTGTATTTTTAGTAAAGAAAATATTTAAAAAAACCCAAATTTTGCAAATATTGATTCATACATCTTTCCTTTTCTTAAATACACATATAGCACCAATACGTTCAGTTGTCATAAAACCACCTGTTGCTTGAGCTAACAGCAATAATTCTAGGCACAACACATTGAAACATCAGAAAAAATAATAAATTGATTCTAGAAAAAAAAAAGTTCGTTTTACAATAGTACATTGGTAATATTATCCAGGAGATTTAAGGAATCAAGTGTAGCCAACAGTAACACAAAAATTTCCTTTAGACACTGCAATTTTAAAACTGAAGCCTGTAATATATTTCTTATAAAATCATTTTACTTCACCTTTCTGCAACTGGCAGATTGATGCATGATGCAAGTTACATAATTTCTAAACGGCACTGGAGCAAATTTACGTTTCATTGACTTTGACATCAACTTATGTTCAAACCAGAGGGAGGGCCAGACAGTCATTCTTTAAACGTGGTTTTGTCACGTCAATATTTATGTCTCTAGGGAGAGTTATTTGGTCACACAACAATATTATCCAAGCTCTTTACAAAACTAACACTTAAAAAACAAACAAAACATGTCAATTTAACCTACTCAGAAGAGTAATTTAATGCCAGTAGTCAGCAGCACAAAAGCCCAAAGCACACCCACACCAGCAATCAGAAGTCCCACTGTTGATGCACTTACTCCTGGCAGGAAGTTTTACGGGCCAAATGAATGCCTGGTTTATATATTCAAATTATGGCTTCAACGGCACCTACCAGACCCATCACTTTTATTAGAGCTTTCTCAAACAAAAATAGAAATTTGGTTTCCGACAGAAGTCTGGAAAGTCTTCACCAAGTATGTAACATCTTTTTGTTCTCCCTGGACTTCGCAATACAAACAGAGTTTAATCCAGTTAAAAAACACCCAACAAACCAAACCAAAACAACCCTTCCGACACCGAGTGGAGACAGTCTAGATTAGCAGAGGTGCTTCCCATGTAAATAAATGCAATAAACAAGCACTTATAAATGTTGCAGTAGATATAAAGAATCTCCTGTGGCCATCAGTGCACTGAGGTTTCTCTCCATTCATCTGTAACTACCAGAACACAACTGGACCACAAGGAACTCTCCTCTTAGTGTTGGAATGAGAGTGGATTATAGAGGCTGTTACATCAATGAAATACAGACACATGCACAAGTTCCTTTTTGTACTTCATGCACGACGCCAATGTCTTTTCAAAAGATTTTTTTTTTGTTAAATACCAGATGAATATTTCAATATTTTCGATTAGTTTGAATTATTTTAGGACATGTATTAGTTTAGCATTACAACAGCCATCTTGTCACCCGTTCTCAACACTGTGACTCCACCATCCATTTTCTTCAGAGTTAAAATTAAATCTTAACAGAATGGAATCCAGCCTAGATGTGACGTTAGTGTGTTCACTCCAGTACTGGGAATTATAAAAATCACAAGCCAGACCTATTCAAAATTTTGACTAAGTTCCAAATGCGGTCACTGTGACAAAGTTAATCTCCAATTAAGGCTATTTTCCCCTTCCCAAACAATGGTCTGTACACAGCAGTTCTAGAGATACTGGTGATATAAGAGATAAGGAGGGAAGGTGGAATACTTGCAAAACTAAGCTGGTCTGTCTACAGTCCATGGAGAAAACATCTTCTACAGAAGCCTACACAGAGCAGTAGTTTAATTTAGGGAAGTGAAACATTCCCCATGCCAGCAGTTGCACTGTTATTGCCTGTGAGACTCCATGGCCATATGCATTTGAATTGCTCAAAGCCATATCTAGTTTTCCCTCCATATTCTTGACCCTCTGTGCTCGCCCTGAAATCCCATTATGGAATACAGGGCCTGGTTTATGCAAAGCATGTTGTGGGAAAGGCAAGTCCGACAAAAAATGCCCACTCCACCACAGATTAGTTATATATCAATAGGTTACCATGTGCATTTGCTGTACGATGCTCTTGTGATGTCAGTTTGTGTGCTTGAGTCATATAGCATAGCAGTACACCACTGTATCAAAGTAGACATTTGAAACTATTTTCCTAGTTTCAGAAGAAGTAAAAACCCCACAAGACTACCACAGTATCACCTTCAGCTAATTTTCTTCTGCTTTACATATTAAATTAAATGAAAAACAAGATGTCCCAAGAAGACTACAAGGAAAGTACCATAATGCAACAGAATACACTTTTATAGTAATTTAGAAGAAATCGATGCATTTTATAATTCTGAAGCATATAAATAAGATACCCCCAAAATTATCTGTAATAACATCAGGACAAACCCCATGAAATTTCATATATACTTAAAAGCCATGCTGGTGCAAACCAGTCCCAAAACCAACAGAAAGCCAACACGGCCTCCCCTGAACTAGGTCAATTAGATGTGTCCATTATAGCTTTGTCTCAAATATAATTGCTGTAAAGGATCTGCAATGATGTCGTCTTAAAGGTATTGGAATATACATAAATACGGTTAGGCAAAGAGTAGTAACACATTGGCAAGGTAGCAGAGACTTCAAAAATGTATACTTTGCATTGCACATAATTTATTGCACTTATTCAAGGTTTAAAGTAAAAAGAGAAAAAACATTGTAAAACCATAAATATAAACAATGTGTGCAATACCTGTGGCAACTAAATAAGCTAGGGGTGGGGAAGAAGAGAATAACCCCTATTTCCCACAGCACAGAATATAATTCAGGGCCTGATTGCAGTAACAGGACCACATTAAAGGGAAACATATCCCAGCCTTATGCAAGCAATGAACAGGCTGCACAGTGTCCTCGTGTTCCCAACACCCCTATTTACAGCAAAAAGCCAGTAAGCCTAATTGGCTGTGGATGCTACTGAGAGTCTGATGTGCTAGTGAAACTCTGTGAGCTGGAGAGACTGTCAAAAAAGTGGATAAAAACTCCTCAACCTTTATATTACAAATTTGTGCTTTAGAATTAACATTTTCCTGTAAAATCTTGTGTAATAAGCAAGCTGACAACTCCAGGCATGCCATGGATTCTGCAAAAGTCAATCAAAGATTTACAGGGTCTGTAATCAAAGATAAGAGTCTGTGGGGGCCAATGAGTCAAAGCTTCAGTAGAAAATGGTCCAATAGCTCATGAAGAGAATGCCCTGCACATCCCATGTAGTTTCTCTTACATAATCACTCAAAGGCCACAGTGAAACCAACACACTGTGTAGCACAACAGAATTAAAGACATGTCACACCATTCCTGAGAAGAGAGGACAATTCTGGATTACTCTGGTAATTTACCTGGAAGTTCCCCCGTTATATCTAACTAGAGGTGCATTCAGCAGTTTGCTGAAGGGTATCAAAGTGTTCTGAAATCCATTCTATGGCTAATCCTGGTGAGAGCAAGCCTTGGATGTCTCCCTCTACGCAAAACCTGTACAAAATAACCAAAGTAGAACTTTCTGCCCACCACACTTGGTCCCCGCTGGAGACTGAATCATCATAGGATCTGAACTATCTTCTGCCTCCTAGGAATGGTGTCATCTCTCCTCCATTTAAAGAAAAATGGTATTCGGAGCCTGAATTGACATTATTGATGTAATACCTGCCTTGTGAATAACAAAGGAGACTTACTACCCCAAATCAACTTCAAATCAGGAAAAATTACATATTTTGGAATTTAAAATGCATTCCTTTTAACTACGATTTTGTTCTCATTCAAAAAATGTTGATTGTTCTTCATTTTATTGACAGCAACGTTATTACCTCATCTGCTTTATGCCCAATTCTGTATGTTAAACAGTCCAAACATTTAAGTCAGTAGAACAAAATTCCTGATTGTTTTTCAATGAAAATACCTACATAATTAACTCGAAAGAACATACACTATGCTTAGTTCAAATACATAATGAAGTCATGGTATACGAACCTTTACTTCACCTTAGGAAAGAACACACAACACAAACAAATAAGAACACAGTGTCTTTGTACAGACTATAGGTATTTAAATAAACAGCTTTTTACAACCTACTGGCAAGTGCTGCAGAATCACCACGATGAAGATGTGTTACAGTAAGTCACTACAATATCAGCATGCCCCGGATTCGGTCACAGGTCACTTACAGATGGGATAGGAACTTGAACTATTACTTGAGCCCTAGGCAGATTTTCAGGTACACCTTCCAGCATTTACTCCATTAACATGCAGTCCTAGACCTGCTCACTACAAACAAAAGTTACTAATTTTACTTTAAAAAAAAGATAAACCACTTTCCCAGGAGCAGCAAACTGTGTGCTGTAGACGACCAGTAAGTTACTGCACAGTGTCACTACTAACCTCTAGAAACCCTGCTCTGTAACAGAATCCTGATACACCACCCACTGCTCTGCTGAGGAAACTCAGCCAAGTTGTTTTTGTGTTTCTATATTGTTTCCATAGCAAAGGTCAGTGCCTGCGTAAGTTAAACTAAAGCTGGAAGGCTAAAGACTGAAGGTCACTGCAGGATAAGCCAGAAGGGCTTCGCGCCAAAGCACTTCCAGCCATATTACTACACTGCACACAGGAAACTCAGG